TGAGATCCCAATAAATCCAGAAGTGGTTACATGAACATAAGAGTTCAGTGGGGTTTTCCCCTAGTAACAAGGCTTTAAAATTATAGCCAACCTATTTAACAATCTTAAGGCAAAAAAATCACCAAGGCTAATACTGGTATACAGTCTAAAAGATTTTTCTGTACACTCACTTATGTCCTCATCTTCCATGTCAGGTCTGTTCCACCCTCACAGTCTTCTCCCAACACACATCTCCACATATTTGACCCCTAAAACAGATACGCAAGTCTTCACTTCCCCCACCAAACATGTCCCCTCGTTCCTCCACGCCCCAACTCACAGAGCCTCCCCCTCCATTCCCATCAGCATGGCGGCATGGCACTGGGTACACGCAGCCCCCTCACTTCTCAGAATCTTACCCGTACACACACACTCACTCCCACCTCTCCCCCCCAGCACTCCATCGTACCCCACCCCATGCATACAGTGCAGCAGTCTCCCACCCCAACCATACATTCCTGTCTCTCCACACACGCGTGCACACGTGCTCCCACTGCTGCTCACACCAGCTGGCCACCACATATACACACATTCTCACCCATACATACTACATTCATCATAAAAGTGATTGCGGTCTTCATTTTTTTCACCCAATGTTATAGGCATCCTTCTATGTCTGTACGTAGGGATACACCTTTTTATAGCTGCAGAGTTGATTGCATTTTAGAAAGGAGGGTTATCACTTGGGATTCTTTTATTATATATAATAATTATATATCTACATATACATACATATATATTTATATAATACATATATATGGTATACATGTCAGGATTCTAGACAGCCACCCTTTATTCTAGAAAGTAATGAACTAAAAATAATGAGCTGTTTCTAACCTGAATTAAGGTTTTCTCTTTATAGGCTCAGAAATTAAAATCTGCTTTTTAAAGGAGGACAGCAGAAAAAAACATCCTTATAACCAAAAAACTGTGGAATAAAGAAGTAGAAACTGCACTACAGTACCATTCTGAGACCAAAATTATATTCAGCCGATAGCACAGAATATGTGCTAAGACAATGTGTAATGTTGCAGCTATAACTGGGCTCTTCCCTGTTTCTTGTGCATCACAAAGGGGCTGGCCAATGTCAGGTTATTCCAGACCACACATCAGGGGCCTATCAACCGATCTTAACCTTGTATACTACTAGTGAGGAGAGGACTAGGAATGGTCAGGTGCAGTAGTAACTTGCTGTCCTGGGAAGCACTCTTTGCAGGATACTAATCATTGAAATGGTGCCCAGAGAACTTACGGTGAAGATTTACAAACCTGGGAGAGGAGATTGTCATTGGTGGTGAACTACAGGAAAAACAAAAAACAAAAAACATAAAGAAATGAGTCAATCTCTCTCCCCTTCTCTTTCATACACATGCACACAAGCTGTGTGGAACGTTTGATCCAAAGACCAAATTTCTTCAGAATTGAACGTCATTGGAAGTTCATGTGGTTGCTCTGTACTAGCTAAAACTAATGGTCATATAACCAAAAAAGATACATTTTTTTTATAAAATAACACAATTTATTACTATTTTAAAACATGTCTCACAAAATAACATTCAGAAACTCAACATTTCTAAATAATTTAACACAATAAGTTTAGTCATAAAGTCATGCTACAAAATTCCTGCATATAAAAGATTATTACCAAAGTATTAATAGATGTTAAAATGTTCTTCAGAATGGAGTTGGTTCTAGAGGCCAAAGATTCTGGAATGACGCTCGTTATCATGCTGACACCCTGGGAGAAGCAGCTAGCTATATGTATATTCTCTACAGCTACCAACTCACCAGTCTGTGGACGGGATTGATCCCTCCAGGCAACAGCACCTCAGAGGCAGGTACCCCGCAGAGCAAAGAAGCAAAGAACTTCCCACCCTTGTAACATGAGCCACAACTTAATTTAACCAACATCTAAATTAATTTTTCAAATCTAGATGTGGGAAAGATAACTCACAAAGTTCCTTTTCTGAGTAAGAGAATTCTACTTGACGTATTCCCCAGAGGGATGACTGTCAATGTAGCAGACGTGGAAGGTGACACCAAGGAGGGAAACAGGGAAATCCTGACTCTGATTATGTCAACAGACAACTACTGCGCAGGAGCGCTTACAACGAGCAAGAATGAAGTTGGGTTCTCTAATATCCACATGCAGGCTAGGTACTTACCTACCTGCCCTTTGGGAGTACTTTCCACCAACATCCAGTTCATAATTTTAAAGTGCAAATCTACTGCAAAATAGTTTACTCTCCCCCACCCCCTTGTTAAATTTGCTGGAGCACAATTTGGTTGGCTGGTTCCCCTCCACTTTAGCCCAATATGGGAAATTAACTAGAATCCAGTTATGACTTCTCTAAGTGTCAAGAGAAAATTTTTCTTCGTTTAGAAAAAAGTAAGACTCAGTCTCATTTTTTCTTTCAGTCTTCTTCCTTTGTACTCACTACTTTATAAAAAGGCAGGAATGGAGATT